CTGCTCCTCCACGTCCAGAGGAGCCAGTTGAGGTGGTTCATCTGGTTAGGATGCCTGTTTCCTGTTCCAGTTTCTTGGTAAATACAGAAATGATGGAAGTTTTTCACAAACTGCACTGTACAGACAGCTCTGCTTAAAGTCTCTGATATCTGGATGCCAGCAGATTCTGGAGAGTTTACAGTTCTGGTTCTGCCTGAGATACTGTTGATCACAGCATCTTGATAAAGTGGCTCCAGGAACTGTTTGGGGTCACAGTGGTTGTTCTGCACTGGTTTCTATTTTTCTATCTAATAGATCTTTTTCTGTTTTACTAAATGGGTAAAGTCTGTTTCAGCTGCCCTGTGGGGTACCTCAGGGATCTGTTCTGGGTCATATTCTCCTTTTGCTATACATATTCCCTCATGGCCAAATTATTAGACAGCACAATTGTAAACTCAAACATTGTGACGTTTGTAGTTTTTACAGAGTTTTAATCAGCTGCTATCTTTTCACGATGTACACACATACTGACCAAAAACACGTAACCAATAAATGTCGCAAGAACGTATTCCCTCCCAGAGGAGGTTAACAACAATATTTCTTATCATCTTTATGCTGATGACATTCTGATTTATGGCTCTTTCAAAGCTTCAGAATTTCATAAATTATCTTGTTTACAGAATTTCTGGACCGKTATCTTCTACAGTTAAAGAACGAGACAACAGAGACTCTGATACCAGAGAACCTGAGGTTTTTAGGCTCTTCTGATGAACTGTATCCTAACCATGTCCTCCTGGAACAGTTTTTATCAGCTGAGGAGCATCTCTAAACTGACACTGCTGCTGTCAGCAGATGATGCTCCATGCTCCGGTCTGTCCACGTTCAGATGATTCTAACAGTCTTCAACCTGTTTAAATAATTCACCTTCAAAGCGTTGAAACTGCTGCAGAAAGACTTTAACAGACACCAACAGAAGGTCTCAGGTTCCTGCAGCCTGAGCTTCTGTGGATCTTTGTTTCATCGCTGAAATCAAACGGACTTCCTGTTCTGCAGGCTCTGCTGTCATCAGAACCCAAATCCTCCAGCTGCAGTCTGTTGAAGAGGACCATGAAGGAGCTGACTGCTCTGGCTCTGCCAGCTGCAGACCGAACCAGAACCAGCTGCACCGTGCCACAGGTTCTACCACATCTATAAACATTACCCATCCATTTCAACCAGAACCTTTTCAGAACCTCTCTGATGGTCCGTCTGAAGAAACACAAACTGATGCAACATGTGGGTCAGACCATGGGGGGCTTCTGTTGTGGTTCTCTGCAGGTCCACGCTCTGAACCTCCTATGGTTCTGATTGGGTCAGGTGTTCTGTTAAAGGTTCTGTTGTGGTTCTCTGCAGGTCCACGCTCTGAACCTCCTCTGGTTCTGATTGGGTCAGGTGTTCTGTTAAAGGTTCTGTTGTGGTTCTCTGCAGGTCCACGCTCTGAACATCCTCCGGGCTCTGTACAGAGACACCCGTTTGGGGGAGAACATCGGTCCATTTATTGCAGACGGGATGCAGGCTGCAGTTCTGGGGTTCACCTCTCCTGTCTGGGCTGTGAGTCCAAATATTACAACTATAAATCTGTTTAAATATTACAACTATAAATCTGTTTTAATATTACAACTATAAATCTGTTTAAATATTACAACCATAAATCTGTTTAAATATTACAACTATAAATCTGTTTAAATATTACAACTATAAATCT